TTTATAGACATCAAAGAATCCATTCGGGAGAAAAACCGTATAAATGCCTGGAATGTGGAAATAGTTTCAGTCAGAGGGGAAGCCTTTATATACATCAAAGCATCCATTCAGGAGAGAAATCGTATACATGCCTGGAGTGTGGAAAGAGATTCAGTTGTAGGGGAACCCTTTATAGACATCAAAGAATCCATTCAGGAGAGAAGCCGTATAAATGCCTGGATTGTGGAAAGAGCTTCACTCAGAGAGCACATATCAGTCAACATCAAAGAATCCACTCCGGAGAGAAACCCTATGAATGCCCGGAGTGCGGAAAGAGCTTCAGTCTGAAGGGAAACCTTTATGCACATCAAAGAATCCATACAGGAGAGAAATCACATAAATGCCTGGAGTGCGAAAAGAGTTTCAGTCGCAGGGGAAGCCTTTATAGACATCAAAGAATCCACTCGGGAGAGAAACCATATAAATGCCTGGACTGTGGGAAGAGTTTCATTACAAATGAACATCTGAAACACCATCAAAGAATCCATACAGGAGAGAGGCCTTATAACTGCCTGGAGTGTGGAAAGAGTTTCAATCTGAAGGGAAGCCTTCTTAGACATCAAATAATGCATTCAGGAGATAAACCATATAAATGCCTGGACTGTGGGAAGAGTTTCATTACAAATGAACATCTGAAACACCATCAAAGAATCCATACAGGAGAGAGGCCTTATAACTGCCTGGAGTGTGGAAAGAGTTTCAATCTGAAGGGAAGCCTTCTTAGACATCAAATAATGCATTCAGGAGATAAACCATATAAATGCCTGGAGTGCGGGAAAAGTTTCAGTCTGAAGGGAAGCCTTCTTAGACATCAAATAATGCATTCAGGAGAAAAACCATATAAATGCCTGGAGAAAGAGTGGAAAGAGTTTCAGTCAGAGAGGACATCTCAGGATACATCAAAGAATCCATTCAGGAGCGAAACCATATAAATGCCTGGAGTGTGGAAAGAATTTCAGTCTGAGGGGAAACCTTTATACACATCAAAGACTCTGTTCAGGAGAGAAACCATATAAGTTCCTGGAGAGTGGAAGAAGCTTCAGTGAGAGTGGAAGCCTTTATTCACATCAAAGGATCCATTCAGGAGGGAAACTCTATAAACTCCTGGAGTGTGGAAAAGGTTTTACTAACAGTGGACATCTCAGTCAGCATCATAGAATCCACACAGGAAAGAAACCCTATAAATGCATAGAATGTGGGAAAAGCTTGAGACAGACTGAATATCTCAAAATATGTCAAAGAGTTCACACCAGAAAAAAACTTAAAAATCCCTGGAGTGTGGAAAGAGCTTTGTTGATTGTGGAGGTCTCAAAAACCATCAAAGACTTCACAGAGGAGAGAAATTCTGTCCATGCAGGGAGTGTGGAAAAAGGTTCTGATTATGGATATCTCAATGAACATCATAGAATCCACACAGGAGAAAAACTATATAAATATCTGGAATGTGAAAAGAGCTTTTATCACAACATAGAAAAATGCACACAGAAGAGAAGTTACATAGATGAATGAGTTTGGAAAGAGATTTAGAATTAATG